TCCTCTCGGCGGCGCGCGGAGCGCGGGCTGTGCGAGTGGCGACGGCAGCTGCGCCCGCTCCGCATAAATGACTCCCCCGCCCCCGACACCCCTCCCTCTCACTTCCCCTCCTCCTCCGCCCTCCCGAGTGCGGCTGCGGCCAGGCGCCAGCCAGGTCCTAGCGCCTCCTGTTTCTCCCAGCTGTAACCTCCAGGGTCCCGGGCAGGGGAGGTGAATCTTCATCAAGGGCGGAGGGACAGCGCCCTGGAGTCGTGGTATTACCTCTTTTCCTCTCCCCGCAGCGGATTTGTACTAATGCACAGCCACTTCCCCACTGCTACACAGATTTACACTTGCTGGTACGAGTTAAGCGCCAGGAAGATTCATTCATCCTTGCCCTAAACGACCTTAAATAACTAAGTGTTTAAGGAAGTCACTTGTGTGTCATTTGCGAGATTTTCACTTCGTTAATTCCTCGTGCTTTTCAGCAACAGCTTACTTGACACATTCTACCTCTGGGACGAGCTACACTCGGGGCAGTGAGTCTCACGACTCTTACAAGAGCCAGCCACCATGGCTCCAAAGACAAGTCTGTCGCCTGCTGACTTTCGAAATCCGAGCATCTGATACGAGACGGCACCACGGGTCAGTAAAATACTAGCCACGGGATTGAGGAAAGGTATTTCTACGAGTATTTACTATGCAAGTGGATGGACGTGTTGCCCCAAGAGAATTGCTTCATTCATTTGTTGGATTGCGTCTGATGAGGGCTTCTTTTTCTCCACCAAGGAAAATGTTTCCCAACTTTTCCGAGCACAGCCCTGCAACAGTGAAAGGCTTTAATGTAAAAGGACCACAGAGGAAGTTAGGATGAAATATGTGTCCGCCGCGTACTACTGCGTCCTGCATGGGAGCTGCTCCAGGCGGAAAGGAGCTCTCATTAACCCTCTCCTTACAGCCTTCCTGTGTTTCTGGAGATGAGGGGGCACCGGGTGACTTAAAGATTTTTCTGAAAAGAAAAATTAGCCCTAATGAAATAATTAAACTGACCTGAAAAGAAGTCATCAAATCCCTAATTCCCACTTCGTCTTTTTTTCTCACCTCCTACCATTCTTGGCTGTCTGTCTTCTTATGAGTACATGTTTGTAGTCCTTGCTATCTTTTATCTTAAGGCTCACTTTGATGTGTTTGAGCTAACTCATCACACAATACTTCCGTCATATGAAACATATCTGCAAATTTAAATTGCGCTAGCACCTTGTAGCACACCATCTTGTGACATTTTACACACTGTAAAAAGTTATGCTGTATTACAGCATCTTGTGAACAAACTTGAAAAATAACATTATCCTCCTCCTCTATCACCGGTGAAAAGTTAGAGGATCAGAAGAACGAGATCATTTGTGAAAGGGCACACATTTTCTTCATTTGTTTATTTGACTGAAATATATGCATTTTGAGCACCTAGCCTGTAGCGTCATAATGAGATGGAAGAAAGTGAAGAGAGGATGCAGGTGGGGGGTTTGCAAAAGATTAGTGGAATTCAGAATCTAAATTCGTAAAGCTCTAAAGTAAATATGGTTCATTACTATTACTCTATTATTTATAAATGGGAAAGCGTAAGCACTGTGCTTGATTGTTAGAGTACTGGTGTAGTCTGGCTACTGGCTACTTGCTTTAGACATAGCCCTTCCTCCTTCCCACCCACAGAGCCAAGAAAGCCCACAATCTGTCACTGCTAACTGTCCCCTGAGTATCTGCACCTGTGCATGAAGACATGGATTTATCCTTCTAGAAGCTGGGGGCTTTCAGGCAGAACTAAAAGAGCTCAATCAAGATACAAATCTCAATTCAGAGAAGGGACAGTCTGCCCTCTTTTCCTAATGAATAGTGGGCATTTGCTCTCCCATGAGGGGAGAGCCTGTGTGGCCATTATCCGCAGAAAGGTGGCCACTGCACAAGATATTTTGGGTATCAAGTTTGAAGCATGGCCAGTGGATTTATCTCTGTTATTGTTATCTGGGACTGTTATTGTTTAGAGCTACAAAGGCAGCACAGCATGATTCCCTTTGAAGGCCATCCTGTTCCTGGGCTTCAACTTCTGAACGAAATAAAGAGAAAACACTGCTGTTCAAGGCCTCCTGATACCAGGAGGCTCTTTGCTCAGGATAGCAAAATTGTTCACTAATACCTTTTCACTCTGATCTCTTTCCACGGACTCTCTTGCCTTGTGTGCACAAGCCCTGCTTGGCTCAAACAAACATGACCTTGAATATGACAGAAAATTGGAAAATGAGGTAGAAAGGGGTAAAATCACTCTCTGGATTGTGAGCCAACCTCTGCATGTTCTTCGTTTTGGATGCTATCTTAGCCATTTGGTCATTGCTGGAACAAAATACCTGAAACCTAAAACTTGAAAGAGGAGAGGTTTGTTTGGGCTCATATTTTTCAGAAGTTTCAGTCCATACTTGGCTGGCTCAACCAGAGAACCAGCATGGAGGAAGGGCCTGGCACAGAAGAAAGCTAGGAAGCAGGAAGAAACCAGGGAGGGCGATGCACTCTTTCCAATCACACCCTCAGTGACTCACTCTAACCAGGACCCATCCCCTAAAAGTACATGCAAGAGTTGAGCTTATCATTGCACGAGTCCCCTGGTGAGTACATTGCCCTCATGATCCAGTCACTTTCCAAAAGCCCTACCTTGGAATGTGGGAGAGATTTGTGAGACATTATAGTGTTTAGCCATATAGATGCATATGTATTTAAAAGGGGGAAACCTAACTCCGTTTAAAAAAAATTGAATCCCTATTCATTGGCTAGATTGAATGAATATAGATTCATTACTCTCACTGTCCATTGCTCTTGTAGTTATTTTCCAGTTCCATTTTAAGTGCATTCTCAGAAGGTGTGATTTCTTCACCTAGGTAACATCAGAGAAATGCCTCTCCATGAAGGGACAGATACATTTTTTTTCCTGCTTTGAGATCATACCTTGATAAACTCAGTAGATATACAGAGCTGCCTTGGGCAAGAATGCAACATTCAGATATGGCTCAAAAGCTGTGAGAAGTATCTTATTTCATGACCTTAGGTTCTGTTGGTTATGACAGCCCTATTACAAATACCTCAGTAGCCCATGGGAGAGATAACTGGTAAGAGTAGTATTGTTTTGTGCAAAACCATCATTAACATTAAAAAAGAAGCTAATGTACAAGTCTTGCACAGATGCTTCCTTTTTGTATGTGAAGAATAGCACTGCAAGCTTCGACCTTGGTTTCTCACTCAATAATGTGCCACGTGACAGGAAATCAGATAGTTTAAGTTTTAATTTGTTTTATACTTAGCAACATATTACCTAATAATGAGGCCCTGTTAGTGTTTGTCTTCTCTGCCAATGTCCCTTAGAGCTCTAGAGAAAATTTCAATAAAACGCAATGAATAGATACCTAAACAGCTGAGCATCAGGAAGAAGAACAAGAACTCCGTAAGAACCTATTTTGAAACTCTGGAAACTAAACATTCTGGAAAGAGTTTGCCTTAAAGATACTTCATTTCTTCCCCTGATACATCCCCTGCTGCAAATTAATCTTCAAGTTTTTGTCTAGCCCTGAAGTTGTGTGAATCAATGATAAAGTCTTAATGGGCAGTTTGGAACTGACCAAGGGGAATATGCTATGGGACACTACTGTCCAGTAGGAGAGTTAACAAGTCTATAAGGATCCTGAACAGTTTTCATTGTACTAAATTAAGATTGGTAATGAAAGTTAATCTCATTTAATGATAGCAGTGATAAATTACGGTAGTAGCCACCATTCATTAAGTACTTGTTATATGACAAGTACTGGGCCAAACATATTCAAGTCTTAACCTCATTCATACAGTACCAAAGCCCATGGAGACTGCAGATATTACATATTCTGACTTCTTTATTTAATAGATAAAAATACTATGTACACGGTGTATACCTATGATCCTAGCTACGTAGAAGGCAGAGAAAGGAGGACTGCAATTTCAAGTCCAGCCAGGGCAACTTAGTGACTTAGTGAGACCCTGCCTCGAAAGAAAAATTAAAAAGGACTGCAAACGTAGCTCAGTGGTAGAGCACTCCTGGGTTCCATTCCCAGTACTACACACACACACACACACACACACACACACACACACACACACACACGCATGCACACACAAACACAAACCTGAGACCAATAGAAAACCTATTTAGAGGACAGTAATCCTATCAGGGAAAAAATAAGTTAAAAATTGAAGAATGATATAAATAAAGCAAGGACTACCTAAAACAAGACAATAGCGTGCTATGAGACAAAAAATAATATTAACCTAATTTTGCATACCTGGTGTTGTGGCTTGTATTTAAATGTTCCCCCCAAAGCCTCATACATTCATAGACAGGGCTTTTCAGATGGCTGCATCTAGGGTGTGTGATACTGGGATTAAAGGTGTGTGGGCC